CCAGTGTTGGGCTTTACATGCTCTACAAAATGCAAAAAAGAATGGGTCTCTAGCATTAACGGTTCCCGAATTAGAGACAGTTTTCAGTTTCGGTATCTTATGGCCGCTACTCCTGTGAAAATGCACCGATTGACCCCAAATTCACGGAGATGAAAGATGACCTGAAGGGTAACACTTTCCAATAATATTATTGGTTAAGTCTGTGTGGTGTCTGAATAACAGGGCAAAAAATTTTTTTTTCGTAAAAAATTTCATTTTTTTGAAAATTTTGGCCCATTTGACCTTGAAGTAAAGGTCAAAGGTCAAATCCGAGGGTATATTTGAAATCTACACATATGACTTTTGGAAAGCCGTCTGTAGAAATTTTTCCCGTAACTCCTTCCGTAGGGTAGATAATTAGCATTTAATTTTGCCATTTTTGGACAAGGGTGCATTGCAATGAGTGCCACACCCAGACCCCAATACCGACAAAGCCCAAATTTTACGTGGAACGAGTTGAGATTATAGGTGACCTAAATCCATGAGATGGGTATGGGGGGCCTTACCGTCTAGGAGGAGAAGCGGTAACGGTAGCCGTCCGGCGGAGCCGGCGGAGCCGGCGGAGCCGGCGGAACGATCCGGACGAGACCGAAACCATGTGTACCGCCAGCGCTAACGCTGGTGGTACAATAAATTTACCTGAGGTGTAATCTAAAATAAATATATCTACTTGTGCAAGTTGCTGTGTACTCAAATACTTCAACCCCATTCTCTAAAAAAATAATAAATAAAAAATAAAAAAGACACTGACAAAGTATAATGTAACACAAATAAGCACCTTCAGGAAATTAATATCATATTAACTTTTGATATCTAATTTTCTGTTTTAAACCCCATTATACTTGTTTGATTTCCATCTTCCATCAAAAATTAGTACTTTATTGAGCAATTAATTTCTTTCTGTAATATATAATTTATATGAGATATGTGTTAAAGGTTTTATTCTTCTCCTTTTTTCAAAAGATAAAATTGCCAAAGATGTGGAAGGGAATTACACACATGGCTATTGGCTTTCATATGAAGCTCACCAAAATATGGCGATCTAATTATAATGTGTCACATCCCTTTCCATGTTATCAGTATGGAATGACAATGTTTTTTGAACATTTTTTCTCAACCTTACCAAGTAACATTCCATTTCTGGGTTTCATATTCAGTATGAACTGACTCATATAAAAAGATACATCATCAAAACAATTAAGTTTCTTTTCACTCTACAGATTATAATTTTTTAAGTCATCAAAGAAAATGTTAAACACTCATAATTCAACCATGGCTCGCAAGCAAACATTTTAAGAGGAAGTGAAAATATGCCATGTATTATATATTTAATTAGTAAATAATTTGGCTGGGGAAATCATATCTAGACAGGTATTCATCATTGAGATTGGGGGTTATAATTCAGCTTACATTTGATAGTTTTGCTTTTCAAAAGTTCATATCATTGTTTTTTTTTTTTACTTAACCTAACTTCATTTTGACTAGAGGCCTGGAACTTGAGACCTGAGAAATGGCAGAGTAATGTTTGCATCTTTGAAAATCAAATTTCCCTTATTCTATCAACTAACCTTAGAAGGCATTTCATTAAAAAATTCGAATTGCTAAGTAATTTTGTCAAACTACTATTTGTGGTCTACTGTTTGAATTTCATAATGCTTGCGTAAATAATGTAAAAATGTTTCCTTTAAACAGATTTTAGTATAATTTTAAACATTTTATATTTAGCAGATAATCAAGCAACAAAGATATTGCACAAAAAAGTACAACTGAGGCCAATAAAAAGATAAGCAAGTAGCACACTTACCAAATCATGGTAAAGTATGAAAAAGGACACACACACAGACACACATATATATATAAATGTAAGTGATAAAATGGGGACTTTGTTTCAATAGCAATTGATGTAAAGGATAAAAAGAACACTATGATGCTTGAACCTAACTAATGTTAACTTCATCTAAGTGCATCAAAAATTAGAATTCTGAATCCACCATTCACTTAATTATACAGCAAATGCAATTATCAAATACTAACCCTTCCTCACCTTATCCTCTTTGCTACCAAACTATTAGTTAAAAGACTGCTGCTTTTTTTTTTTTGTGCCACTGTTGGCCTGTCTTGATTATAATCTGGTGCCATCTCATGGCAAGTAGACAAAACAGCTGTTCTCATGCATGTTATATATCATATATATAATCATATATCTAAAAATGCCTTTCTTACATCTTATAAACAAATACAGGATTAACAACTGCTTTATATCACTACTACTAAATTATCGCTTTGTGTTAATCACCCTTAATAAGAAAATTCATCGTCCTGAAATTTTTCAAATATTTGAGAAGAATGTGAAAATCATTCTGAATACTCCCATGCAAGATGGTGTGATAGAAGAAAAGTATGGTGCTCTTTACAACAGAGTCTGTTCACATGCAGACAGCGGGGCCAGTCAACAGACAGGAGAACATGGACGACTCGGTCAAATCACACTAACTTGTTCCTCTATAATACCACAGCCATTATTGCGACTGCGGCTTGGCGCTGTGGGTGTTCTATTATGAAAACTCATATCCACACCTGTGTGTCCTAATGTTTCCCATGTATCCAAGTTTTTGTCTTTACGATACTGTTCCCATCGAGCATCATCCGACTCGTGCGACAGATAGCGCCTTCCAACATACTTCTCCATCTTGCGTAGATCGCACCACGTTTGGTAATCCTGAAACACAGCATACAAGTAAAATTAGATGATTGGAATAATGTGGTACAGGAAATCAACATAACACTATAAAGTTATCTAAAAAGTTCATTTTCTTTGGTAAGAAAGAAATCCTTCCTGAGTGTTACATATTTCAACCCAAAATTTTTGTATAGAAAAGCAAATTTAGACTGACATGCAAGACTACACAAAGCTGCACCACAAATAATACTTTCTTTCTTATAAAACAATGCAAAGTGGATTTTTTAACACATTAAAAGAATTTCCCAGAACAAAGCACTACATTCTACTTGTAACAAGTCAGGAGGCATACTATCATTATTTTGCAAAATCTATTTAAAAAGCTCTTGGTCTAATGACATTATTCCCTCTGTAAATTCATGATAAATGTAATTGTAAAATATACATTCCATAACAACAACAAAGAGACAAGTGCAATAAAGTGACTTAAGCCTCAGGTAGCTAGCAAACAAGCAAAAAAAAAAAAAAAAAGCATTTCGCAATGAAACAAATACTAGTAAATACTAAAACAAATCAACACCATGATCTGGTATTTGTTTCGAGGTTCAAAACTAGCAATCATCTGCAAATGCTCTGGTATCATAAGGCTTATAATTCACAGAAAAACTAGAAGTATTTCTTTGAGATTTGTTAGCAATCACCATGACAGCGAGTTCCACAACAAACATGGTGGTTTATGATAAGATATCTCAAGTTATAACTATGGGTGTAACATACCAATATCAAAGTTAAAGATCATTTCTAATTCTTTCAATTTGCTTTTGACCTGGTAATGTTTGTTTATACTTATCCTATCATAAACCACCAGTACAAGTATCACAATTCTACCAAAGAGGTATCATCACATTTAAAAGTAATATGTTAAAAAGTCCAAGTAAAGTTCAGAATACTGGAGCAAAAGAGAATGAGCATGAATTTCAAATGACTCTAAAAAAGCACAAATAATGTAATTTTAATAAAAAAAAAATCTTAAAAGATCTTTCATTTGACTGTGCTAGGAGTCTTAATTGGCTACTTAAACTCAAAATCTAGGCCAAAAACTGAATATATGCTTAGAAATAAAGTGCTTGAACATTTGCATTGTGGTTTAGCATTCAAAAACTGTGAACTCAAAATATACCTGAAGCCAAACATGCGCTAAAGATTTGTCCACCATGAATCGTTTGCGCATTTTCACCTGTAGCAAATTATTGATGAGATCTATGGCTGAAATAATGATAGAGAGAAGATTACTGACATCATTCCAGGTGAGCAATTATATAAGAAAATGGTTAGAATCAAGGATCATGATCAATTTTTGGAGGAGAGGAAGATCAGGTACAAGCACCTGTCACCAGGCTAGGCAAGTTATAAATGCTGGAAATGAAAAATAAGGAGAAATGAATGCAGGTAGATCTGTTGGGGATCATTATCACTATCTCACTCCATGGAATGTGTGGAACATGACCAACATAAGGTATAAGCTGAGTGGTCAACATTTATGTTCCCAGTGTTTAATATTGAACTAAATTTCATCTTCCATGCGGTAAAAAGACCAGTGAAAATGATCCACAATTTTCCACATGAACCATTTTAGCTTAGGATTAGTATTGCACAACAGAAAATAAATAAAATACAGAAATAAAATGTCCCGGCCACCATTCCTTCCACGAATGTAGAAAACTCCACATCCTACTAAATAGCAACGTTCACTACTCGATGGCCAAAACCTCACAGAAATATCA